ACCATAGACTGAAACACAATTATGAAGATAGTGCAGAAGTAGGCAGTGTTTCATTGTGTTGCACATGAGGCTGCTGTGAGTCAGCACTGAGCAGATGGCCTCTGAGGACAGTAGTGAGGGCAGTGCAGCGGCCAAAGAAGTGTGTTTAGGAATTGGTTAAATCAAGTTGCGATTCTAACTCTTAACTCCATATTCTTGCTCATACTGGCATTTTAACCTTGAAAATATGGCTTAACCTTCCTGCTTCAGATTCTTCATTTGTAAAATAAAAGTAATATTACCCACATCAGAAGGCTGTGTGAACATGATGAATGAAGTATTTAGAAGGCACTTAAAAATATGCCTGATACATAGTAAGAATTCAAATATGTTAGTATGGTATTACTTCACATCAAAGGAATCCTGGTTACAGAGCGGTTAAAGCATCCACCTTCTACCTGTCCTATAGTGATGCTGTTCGTCTAAATTGACCCAGCAGCAGCAGTGTGGTGTGTGTGTGTAACCTTCCAGTGTATACATATGTTCAGTGAAACCTGTAGGAACAGGAAGTTCCCAAGAGACTGCCTTGCTTTTCTGGGTCTAGTTCTCTGCTTTTGGCAGGGTGGAGTCTTGAAATCTTTTTATTACTTGTGTTAGTGGAAAATCTGAGAGAGCTTCAAAAAGCTCGTGGGAAATGGAGTGAACAGGTAATGGAATTTTCCATAAAACGTTTGAAGCCACCTCATATTTGAGTTTTCCTTCTCTGACAAGTTTCTGCCTTCTACTGGTTCCTGCTTTCGCAGGCTTACTAGGCTGTCCGGAAATGCCATCCTTATTGGAGGCAGCCCTTGGGAACCCTTTGGTTCTTTTCAAGTGTACTGTTGTTCTGAACTGAGGATTATTCGATTGGAGATGGTCTCTATTCTGTGAAGATGATTAGGGACCTTGGTTTTCCCGCTGCCGTAAGGATTCAGCGGACGACTTGGGAGAATGAAAGCCTTACAAATGTAGTTTCCGTTTATTAAATCCTGGAAATGAAGATCTCCTCAACTGCTGGTGATTTACTTCATGCCATTTATTTTGTGTGATTGCATATTTAAGCTTGACCAGCCTGTTTTCTGTCAGTAGCTGCAAACTGTAGATGGTATTAATTGAAATTTATAGTAGCTGTTGCCTCAGGTGGTGCACAAGCATGATTAGCTTAAGGCACATCTGATGTTTTATGGCGACTGGAAATAGCATGGCCAGTGAATCGTGTGTGTAGCCTCTCTGCCGAGGAAGCTTGTGTGCTTGAGTGCACTCTGGGTGAAACCAGGCTGCCAAGCTTAAGTGGACGCTTTCTTCTTACACCCCTCTGCCTTAATGAGTACATCCATTTTACTTGTTATTGTAATAGTGTAAAACCATGTGTCACCATTTCTTTATATTCCTGAAAATTCCGCAATTATCATCAGGGGGCAGGGAGAGTGATAGATAAATATATATATAGCAAGACATCTGCCAATTCAACCGTTTTTACAGGTATAATTCAGTGAAAGTGATTATGTTCACCTTGGGCAACTCTCACCACTACCCTTGCTCCAATTATCCTACCATAATTAGCAGAGACTTGGTGTGCCCCAAGCAGTTAATTACCCACCTTCTCTCCTTTGCATCCCGGTCTCTGTACATTTGCCCGTTTCAATGCCGTGAGCTCAGTTAGTATTTGTCACTGTGTGATTGACTTCTTTCACTCAGCAAGATGTGTTCAAGATTCATTAATGTATAGCATGTATCAGGACTTCATGTTTCTGTCTGCTTAAGTAGTATTTCATTGTATGTATGCACACAATTTGTGTAGACAGTCATCTATTAACTGATATTTAGACCATGAGACGAGTGGTGCAGTGCATTTGATTGTGCAGATTTCTGTTCGCAGTCCTGCTTCCGTACTCTGGGTATAGATGTGGGGTCGGAATTGCTGGATCATGTGGTCAAACAAAAGCAAACTCACTGCCATGGAGTCCAGGCCAACTCATAGTGACCCTAGAGTTTGAAATCATTCACCCTTATAGTTATGTTCTGTGTGAGATGTGTAAGATGCACATGCATAAATGGATTGTTTTAATCTCAGAGTGACGTCTGGACGTTGGTAAATATACTGTTGCCATATTCAAACTCAATCAAACTCAACAGCTGTCGAGTTCATTCATGCTCATAGCAAGTGACCCTGCAGGACAGAATAGAACTGCCCCTCTGGGTTTCCAAGACAGTGGATCTTTTGAGGAGGAAAAAGCCTCAGCTTTCTCCCACATAGTGGCTGGTGTTTTTGAACTGCTAACCTTGCACTGTAACCTGCCCAACATAAAACCTGCTATGCCACCAGTGACTCCTTCAGAGTCAGTCATATTAGCCATACTTCGATATACTATTATTACCAAAGATGGTGTTTTTTACTCCTATAAATTCTACTTACTTGGTTTTCCCCTATATCAGAGAGTTTACTAATTCATTAATATCCTAGAGAAGTAGCAATGGGGATAAAGACCATCTAAACTTGGGTAATAATTAAGGGAATGACAGCTGAAGTTGTGAAGAATGGTGGTGTACGATCAGCTTTGACATCATTTGTAAGTTTGTCAGGGTTGTTAAGGATGTGAGGAAACTACTAGGAGGCAGCTTGGCACCATGGTTGAAAGCACAGATTCTGAAACTATTCTGAGTTTGCATCCGGCTCTGCCCCACAGCTGTGACCCTGGACAGTACATACGGTCATCTCTCCTTGTCTCAGTTGACCTGTCTATCAAGTAGAGAGAATTGTACCTAGATCACAGGAGTGCTATAAACGATGAATCTGTTCATACATAGACAAAATACTTAGTAAAACTTATAGCATATAACCAATGCTCTATTATGTATTACTTTCATGTACTATTGTTGAGAATCCAAATCATACACTATTTTTGGAAGGTGTTTTGACTTTATCAAAAATTTAACTGTGAATACATTCTGATCCTCGGTTCTCTTTTTCAGCACATTTCTCAAAACTATTCTGTAAGCCACAGAATAGTTTCCAACTGTATGACAATTAAACAATTCTTCAGGGAAGGAAGGGAGAGATGGAAATACCACCTTTAGCTCTAGATAGAGAAATATGTCGACAAGTAATAGCTTCACGTTTTGATTCTCAGCTTTAATAAAGGATTCTGTGATTTTGTAGCAATGCTTTTTGACCTACCCTCATCGATGAAGAGGTCATGTAACTAAAATCACGAACTATGCCCACTGTGTCCGAGCAGAATTCATTCCCGCGCTCAGACTTGGCAGTGCTATTTGATCATCGCATGTCAGTGTTCTCAAATCTTTGCAAATCTTTTCTCCCTTTTCCTAGTTGGGCTTTTGTTTTGGTTTCACTTTTTAAATAACTTTCTTTAATATACGTTTTACTCGTTTACGTATACCTTATCCTTGAGTCAAGTAAAACCTCCTTTTGCAAATTTTAGCTTCTAAGTTTCCCTGTATATGTACTTGGGTTTATTATAAAGCTTCATAATGTTTTAAAGTTTAAAAAATTGCCAATTGCTATTAAATCCCAATGTTCAGACCCAAAAATTACATCAAAGTCTTAGCTATCGAAGATTTTAGAAATAAGTGTGAAGATTACTTCAATTGTGACCTCTCACTTAACCACACATTGAAGACTCTGTAGCTTGCAGGGTTAGAATCCATGATCTCCTCAATGTATTCACTCACTCAGTAAATATTATTCATGCCTGGACAGTATTCCAGGAGGTGAGGTACAGCAGTGAACAAAATAAGAGCTTCTTGTCCTCAGGAGGTTTCAAATCCAATGAAGAGAATGGCATACATAGAGTATGGCTGATATCATGTGCTAGGCAAATAGGAGTGCTGGAAGGGGCTGCTGCAACTTCTGGGCCCCTCTGAGAAGTTGTATATTGGAGCTGAGACCCAAAGTGTGGGAGAAAGCCAGGTTGTGTCTGCAGGAAGAACATTTGGGGAGAGGCAGGAACAAACGTGGAAGGCCTGAGGTGAGAGAGAACCAAGGTACTTGAAGGAGAGCAAAGGCATAGAATGAGCATGAGAGAGAGATGAGCCAGAGAAGCAGCTAGACCCTGCCTCAGACCCACTGCCATGGGGTCAGTGCCCCTCAGAGCTACCCTTTTCAGGGTTTCCGAGACTGTAAACCTCTACAGGGACAGGCAGCCTCACCTTTCTCTTGGGAAATGAGTGGCTGGTGGATTTGAACTGCTGACTTTGCATTTAGCAGCGGAACATCGAACCCACCGAAAGACATTTAATCCAACAGAGCCTTGTAGGAAACAGAGAAAACAGATTATTAAAGCAGTCATAGTTCAAGAACTACTTTATCTCAACCCCCATATCTCTTGACCCATGTCGATCATGCAAGTCATTTCTCTTAAAACTTGGCAGCCAGAATGGCGCAGCATAACTCTTATTTTAGATTCACATATAAAATCCATCAAGAGAGCCTACACAGTGTGTGCTTGAGGCCAGACAATCAGTATTTCAATCATTGCTGCTCATTGGCATTCTCTGCAGTCTTGGAGAGACACTCTCCCTCTTTTGCCACTTGCAAAACTGGGAACCTCAGGCCTTGCCCAGGGAATGAGCAGGGGGAGAGAGCGAATGACCAAATCCAGCAATGGAGGTACAGAAGAGAGAGGGGCAGACTGAGAGAGGAGCGCAGCACAGGTGTTTGTAAAATAGTCTGCTCAGAGAGCACAGAAATAGAATGAGTAGATTTGTCACTATCCTGAACAGAGAAAACAAGTAGTCTTAAAAGTGCTAAGTACTCTTATTTGTTAAGAACAGCGCACAGATGTGTGGCAGCAAGTCTCCATGAAGCGCTTCAGGACCCCGGAAAGTGGCTGCCTGTCCATCCACCCCGCCCCACATGCCCGTTTATGGTTACAATGGCCGTACACATACACACACATCTACATAACATCATCATGGCTGCATGTGGGGTCAATATATTGAGATAAAAATTGCCTTTACAGGCCAACGGATGACAGCAACCAGCCCCCAGGCCGGGGAGTCCTCTCCATGCACGGGCTGACCTATGGTGTCATCAGGGTGGACTCTGAGGAGAAGCTGTCTGTCCTCACTGTGCAGGATGTTGGCCTGGTGATGCCTGGAGGTAAGTACTCACCTGGGGACATACTTGGGAAGCAGACAAGTTGGAAAGTTTTACATAAAAATGCTTGAAGTCAGAAATTACACCTTGTAATCCTCATGTGTGAATCAACTATTAAACACTAACTTTCAATACATCAGGAGGCTTTTTTTCCCCTCTGTACTCCAGCCTGTAATTGAATTTCTTAGATTGAAATGTTTAATTTCCACTTTTGATATGCCATTTCCATTTTTCTGAAGCATTCATTAAACTTCAAAACTTTAAGGTAGCGCCGCCTCTCGGTGAAAGTAAGCCCTGAAGATGCAAGAAGAACTTTGTGATGGGAAAGCCCATGGTCATATGTGCAATTGAGCTCCGGATCACTTTCCCTGGGGAAATGGCCTCGAGCAACTTACCCACCTCATCCTGGAAGTCCCGGCTTCACACAGCCAGCCAAGGGGCCAGGCCTTCAGTGGGACTTCGCTGATGCACTTAAGTCTCTTAACGTGTGCAGGTGGTTTAGAAAAGTCTATGAAGATTGAGTCATGCAAACCTGGATACCCATTTTTAAAAGTATTTAAAAACACAACAATCATCTTTAAATGAAGTTCTAAACTTCTTTTTAAAAAGCAAACATGTTCAGTGACGTCGAACTTGAAGAGAGGCTGTGACAAAAATGACGATATCAGAGGAAGTGAAGCCAGCAATATATATACATACATCTATCTACCTATCTATCTATTACTCATCTATCTATATGTTAAAGAAGCTCTCCATAACATTGAGAGAATGGAGGGTAAACTTTGGGAAGAGGCTGTGACAAAAATGACGATATCAGAGGAAGTGAAGCCAGCAATATATATACATACATCTATCTATCTATCTATCTATTACTCATCTATCTATATGTTAAAGAAGCTCTCCATAACATTGAGAGAATGGAGGGTAAACTTTGGGAAGCTAATTTAAACTTTAAGAAGAGGTATGATTATTTACCAAACAGAAAAGATGTTTGCTTTTTTAAAAAACAAACTATTAATAAAATCCTCACAAAGACACAGAGAAAAAGCCGAAGAAGCTCATCTTTACAAAATACATAAGGAGAACTGCCATTTTGGTTTAAAGGACCTCTGCCTCGTTATTGGAGAAGTGTCGGACTGCTAACTGCAGGGCCAGCAGTTCAAACCCAACCCTCTGTTGTTCTGAGGCAGAAAGTCCAGACCATCTGCTCCCATAAAGGTTTGCAGCTTGGAACCCTCTGCAGGATCTCCATGGGTCCAAGTCAACCCACTGGCAGTGGGTTTGCTTTGCCTTGTACTCCACTGATCTCCAACACACACACACACACACACACACACACACACACA